TGCCAAGTGACTCCCGGTGTTTAACCATCCAACTCAAATGCCGTTTATTACTTCCATTCCTCCAACATCATCAGCTGAAGTTAACTTTCCCTGTGTCCTTACTCTATCCTGGCTCTGATAATTCTGCAAATGACAGAAGACCAAGAACCAAAGTGATTCTCCAGCCAGCCTTAGAGGCTTATGCCTGTGATCCCAAAACTGGAGGGAGCTAAAGGCGGGAAGATCAGAAGCCCAAGGTCACTCTCAGTTACTCAGGTTGTTGAAGGTCAGCCTGGACCAACTGAGACCCTGTCTCAGAAAAGACAGGAAATGGGTATCGAGGAAGGAAGACGTGAAAGGCAAAGGTTCAAGTGTGGCAGAAACCACACTGAAAAGGAGATCCAAGAGCTGAGAGCCAAGGCCAAGGTGCTGATTTGTTTCCCCAAGTACTGTGTCTCTTTGTCGAAGACCACTTACAACAGAAATAGCTTGCTGGCAGGCAGGGACTAGTCACAGGAAGCTTCCGATTGGCTAAACTACCAAGTTTATACATGCTAATGATAGCTCCCACCCATCTCTCTGTGTGGTGAGTGTGCATGAATATGTGGAGGCCAGAGGTTGATATCTAGTGTCTTCCTCTACCGCACCGTCCTTGTTTTTTGAGACATGGTCTGTCACTGAATCTGGAGCTTGTTTTCAGTTAGACTGACTGATCAGTGTGCCCCTCCACAGCCTTCTTCTCCAGTGTTCGGTTTGCAGACACATATATACCACTGTGCTTGGGTTATGTGACTGCAAGAGGCCAAATGCAGGCAGGCCCCTGCCTCACGCACTTTACTCACTGAGCCACTGAACCATTGTTTTTGTTTTCTCCCCCCCCAGATAGGCATTTTATTCTTTGAACCCGAAAAACAATCTGCCGGAGGAAGTACTACATACAACTGGCTTACTCTGAGCCAAAGAGGAAGTGATTTCCTGAGACGTGCACTCCACTCCACCCCAAGACTTCAGTCCCAGGAATGCTGGGGGCCACTCCTGCCAGCTCTCCCTGACCCTGCAACTGACAGCTGATGTTCCAAGTCCTGCTCTAGGCAGCCAGGCAGGCAGTGTGCATCCAGCAACACTCTTTGTCCTGTTTTTGTTTTCTTGAGATACAAGCTTGCTGGCCTGGAAACTCATAATATAGACCAGGCTAGTCCCAAAACACCCAACAGTCCTCCTGCTTCAGTGCTGGCCATGAGTTCATTATGTACCCAAGCCTGGTCTTGATCTCCCAATCTCCCTTCCTTCTCCCTTGAAGTGCTGGGATTATAGACATGAGCAACCACAGCAACCTAGCATGTTCTCTAGACCTTTCTCTCAAGATTTCCTATCATCTATGCCCATTGAAGCCCAGGCTAGCTCTTAGAGATACATCAGTACTTTACTTCCATGTGCTTACTAGCTATTATTATACTAGATACTACAGTTTTCTAAAATTTGCTAAAGATTGATAAACCCAGGCGTCTAAAGTTTGTAGAATCCCCTTCCTACCCTCAAGCCATGGGCCTGTGTGCTTTTCCTCCATTATCTATTGCCTAGTCCAACCTTATTCAATTATCTATTCATCTGGTCCTTACCGAGGCCCAGGGAATAAGGACTAGAGACTATGGGCATCTGGTTTATCATGTTTCTCTTTTTATTAGCATGAAAAATAATGGGTTTCTAGGTTGGTAGCCAAAGAATGAAGACAGGGAATGGGCTACCACTTCTTTTTAGTCCTAGAAAAAGGCTGAACTATCAAACAGTCCACAAAGGCATTCCTTAACAAAGCCCAAACATAAGATATCTCCAAGTCAAGGAGTCAACTAAGAGTTAACTGCCGGCTGGGCGGTGGTGGCGCACGCCTTTAATCCCAGCACTCCGGAGGCAGAGGCAGGCGGATCTCTGTGAGTTCGAGGCTGGGCTGGACTGACAGCCTCCAAAACAATACAGAGAAACCCTGTCTCGTAAAAAACCAAAAACCAAAAACCAAAAAAAAAAAAAAAAAAAAAAAAAGAGTTAACTGCCAAATCCAAAAGCCACTGTCTAGAAAACAGCATAGGGAGGAGCAGGGGCCCAGTCAGGTGAGAGGATGGGTGAGAGCAACCCGAGTCAGCTCTTTCTTGCTTGTATGCAGTTCTTGGGGATGTAGGGGGAACGAGCAGTACAAACAAAATGAATGTTTGCAAGAAAGAAAAAGCCAAATGTGTTGGAACACTTGGTAGGTAAGTGTAGGAGAACCAGGAGTTCAAGGCCAGCCTTGGGTATATAGTGAGTTTGACTGAGCCTGGGCCATATAGGACCTTGTCTCAAGAAAGCAAAACAAAACAGAACAAGTGAATGAAACAGGAAAAGGAAAAAGAAAAAGAAACCCAAGACTCTTTTGGTCCTTCTTAAGAACAGATTTATTTGTGTGTATGTGTATGTGACTGGATGAATTTATGTGCCACATGACACACACGAACATGCAGAGTCAGAAGAGGCCATTGGATCCCCTGGAATTGGAGTTAAAGGCTGTTGTGGGCTGCCCTGTGGGTGCTAGGAATCAAACCTGAGTCCTCTGCAGTAAGCAGTCTTAATCGCTGAGCTGTCTCTTCAGCCCAATTTTATTTAATCATTTTATATACATGGGTGTTTTGCTAATTTGTGTGTCTGTGTGCCACATACACACCTGTCCCTGCAGGAGCCAGATCTCCTGGAGTTGGTGTAACATGATTGGCTGTAAGCCACCTTATGGGTGCTAGGAATTGAACCCTGGCCCTCTGGAAGAACAGTCAGCACTCTCAACCATTGATTTATCTCTGCAACTCCTCCTCTCTTCATTTTTTTAATATTTTATTTTCCAGTTTAAATTTAGATAAGAAACGAGGTTGCTTCACAAGTCAGTTCCAGGTCCCTCTCCCATTCCCTCCCCTCCTCCCGTGCCCTCCCTCCCAACCCCCTTCCCCCCCCTTATCCCCTCATTCCTCCAGGGAGGGTGAGGCCCTCCATGGGGGTGTCCATAGTCTGTCATTTCATATAGGGCAGGGCCTAGACCCTTCCCCAAGAGTTCAGGGTGAGAGTGCACCTCACATTGTTCTATGGGAGTCCAAAGTCCGTGTGTACACTTGGGATGGGTACTGATCTGCTGCCCAAGGCTCAATAGATTCCCTAGGCCTCCTCACTGACACCCAGATTCAGGGGGTCTTGATCAGTCCCATGCTGGATTCCCAGGCTGATGCCTGGGATTCATTTAAAAGATAAGACCTCACTATGTAGTGCTGGCTGACCCGGAACTTGCTATATAGATCAGTGTGGCCTTGAGCTTGAATTCATTCTTTTGTCTTTGCCTCCCTAGTGCTTGGGACTACACGTGTATCCCACCACTCAGAGCTCTATTTACACATTTGACCTTGCCAGCATGGGGAGTTGTGTCAGCATTAAGATCCATGAATAGTTTTACTTAGAAGTTAAACTTGTTGACTAAATAGACAGCTACTCTTGGAGAGGAACCAAACTCAGTTCTTAACTGCCTGTAAGTCCAGCTGCAAGAGGCCTAATGATTTCTTCTGCTTTCCATGGATACCTATGAGCACACAAAATGCTCAGACATACATACATACATATATATATATATATATATTTTTTTTTAAGAAAGGAGCTGTAGTTAGGGCTGTAATCCATAAGTGCTTTCTATAGGCCAACCATTATTCCTAGTATTTTACACTTGGACACCTGCACTCATGTGTTCATACTTATACACAAACAAGTCCCTACACATTGTTTTTTAAAAACCTTGAAAAGAAGCACTAGTATAGGAGTCAGGGGCTGGAAAGACGGCTCAGTGGCTAAGAGAACTGACTGTTCTTCCAGAGGACCTGGGCTTGATTCACAGAACCCACATGGCAGCTTCAGTTCCAGGGGACATGGTACCATCTTCATGTCTCCACAGGCACCAGGGTATACACTAGGTGCAGACAAAATACTCATTCACACTATTTAAAGGGGTGGTAGTTACGGCTGCAATCCATAAGTGCTTTCTATAGGCTAAGCACTATTTCCTGTATTTTATTACACATTAATTATTGTAGTTCTACTTGGTATATTATCATCCATTGCTCCTGTTTTATAGATGAAGACACTGGATTAGATAATTTTATATAATATATAAATATATGAAATATTCATAGTATTCTTATATCATACATAAATTATACATATATGTACAAATTATCTATATCTATCATCTATCTATCTAAACTAATGGTCATGAAATTTGAACTAGACAAGGATGATCTCAGTGTATATACTTGTAATCTCTACTACCCACAGTACCACAGACAGGGTCTCCTAGCTCAGACAGGCCTCAAACTCTTCTGTGTAGCTAAGAATGACCTGAACCCCTAATCCTCCTGCCTCTACCTACTGAATGCCAGGCTTACAGGTACGTGCCAACACACAGGGTTTTCTTTGATGTTAGGGATGGAACCCCAGACTTCCTCTGCTCTACAAACCAGACTACATCACCATCACTAGCCTCTGAGAAGGAGAATTCTTTAAGCAAAACAGAGCAATGTATTTCCTCATGGAGGTTTGTGGCAGCAAATATAAACTAGATGTAGGCCCTCTCTGCTTCTCAGACTATCATCAATGAAAACTGGGGATCACCAAGCTGGGCCAGAACTCAGAAGGGAAGCAGGAAGTATAGGTTTTCTGGTATTCCAGGTCAAATCTTTATTCAGAAATGTGGTTATTTTTAGTGTTAGCTGGCAGAAAGTATACACAGCTCCATATAACTGTCTGTATCCCTGCCCCCCATTATGCTAACGAACTTCAACTGTGTCACCACATGGGAGCCTTCTGGTGTCAGCGTTTCCATTTCTCCTCTGGCTACTGGGCTTGCATCCTTTATCTGCTTTGTATTAAGGTGCCACCATTTTTTTTGCAAATGTTCTTCAGAAAGAACACAGTGTCAGACATTTCTTGTGAAGAGATACTCTAAGAATAGCCAGGAACCAGGCTTTTCACTTAAAGCTGAGTTTATTGACTGACCCTCCCCCCCTTTATTTTTTACATTTTCATTTACAACTATCATTCCGAACACGAATGAACACATGACATCACTGAAAGCAGAAAGATATTGATTCATCAAAAGTTTATATTTAGTTCAACATTAGCTTTTGGTGGCAAATTCCAAAGGGCCCCAAATTATATCTTTTTGGGCCAATGGGGTTCCATATAATGAGGATAAAATTAGTTTAAAATTCATATGTTTTCCTTTGTTTCATACTGACGTTTCACAAGATATTTAACTTCACGTTTAAAAAGTAGGTTAGTCTTTAGTTTCCTAGTGAACTAACCAATCACCTAGCTTTGATCAAAAAGCATCAAATGAAAACAAAAGCCATGTGGCTTTTCAGAATCTGCTTAGCTAAACAAGTGTTACCAATGAAGTTTACAAGTTTACAAGCATATTATGTCCCCTAATCTCTTCAACATGATACAGGTAACAATACACATAAGGTCACACTTGACAGGCATAGAACTGGTAAGCTGTTGTGACTGGTGGCATGCAAATATTTTACATTTTTATATGCAATGAAAAATGCTGCTTGTTTTCTGAAAAAAAATGAAACAAGATTAAGATAAAGGCTTACTTAAAATATAAATGTACATAGTTTTGTTCTTAAAAAGAAAGCAGAGATACACATCACTTTTATTCCATTTATCTATTTATTTTAAAATTTAAGACAAAGTCTCATGTGTCCCAGGCTAGTCTTCAACTTGCTAGGTTGCTGAGGATGAACTTGAACTTCTGATCCTCCTGCCTTCACCTCCTAAATGCTGGGATTACAGGTATATACTACCATATCTGGATTAGAATAATTTAAATAAAGATTGTCATGGCTAACATTTGGTACTAAAGTAAAATTACTCAGGAAGTATACTTTCTATCCAATTCCTTTTTCCATCTGGCCAGTTTCTGTCTACCCACATCTAGATTGTGTCCACAGAAGTTTAAATTCCTGGGTCAGTTTCTTTCAATGCACAGTGCACTTTTGATTGTCTCTTGGTATGCAATCAATATGTGCTTGGAAATGCAAATACACAGATATTAAATAAAAGTCTATTAAAAACCATACTGGACAGTTTCTTTCTTTGCATTTCCTCCTCTTCTTTCTCTCTGATTCTGAGGAGGAAAATATGTGTACTATGATAATCTATCTGCTTTTGAGGGAAGTGTCCCCAAACTTTTTAAGTTTTTTATTTTGTAGTACTGAGGATTGAACCCACATGCCAGGAACTGTTCTACCACTGAGCTACCTTCCCAGCCCTGAAGTAGCCTTTCTGACAAGGCTGCTCGTCCAGAACAACTCTGAAGTTGCTACACACTGCTGAAAAGGAACAAGAAACTGTCTGCAGAACATTCCTAGAGAGAGCTGGAGCTGCAGTGGATATATTACCCACCCATGTTCAGAATCACAGGGTTGCAATGTTTGGTAATCTCGAAGGGGTTTTAGAGAACACGTCACTTTATAGATGAAATGAAGGTAAGATAGATGGAAAATCTTACCCAAGGTCACATACAGCTGGTGTCCAAATCAGTATGAATATATATATATGTATATATATACACATATACATACATATATGTCACATGGTTGTAAACAGAATATAATTCTTTTAGGGCTGGAGGACAATGGTGTACAAGCGACATTTATAAAGCACCTACTATGTACAAGGCACCTTATTAGATGGTACCAAAGATAGAAGGACTGATGAGACACCATCCCTGTGAGGCCAGGCTTCAATGCTTTTCTCGGCAGAAATAACTGGCCAGGGCTGAGTTGCTGGTGATAGGTATCTGCTGCCCCAGAGAGCTTTCTCCCCTTCAGTAACAGAGCTGGCACCCAGTACACAGATGCCAGGCATGAAAATTCTTGGAGCCCCAAGGAGATGCTCTCCAAGGGTTACCAGCAGTACCTTGATCTTAGCTTCCATCAACTTCAGTGATGACAGGAAGGCAGCAGTGCTCTTGCCTAAATTCTTAGTCACTGTTTGGGTTCCCCTCATGGATCTAGTATTTCCTAGGATTGTGACCACTTCCTCCAAGGCTTTTTATTTTTTGAGGCAGGATCTCATATAGCCTAGGCTGGTCTCAAATTTACTATGTAGCCAAGGATGAATCTGAGCATTTGATCTTCCTGCCTCCACCTTTTGAGTGCTGGGATTACAGATTCTCGCCACCCTTGCCCAGCTTATGCGGTGCTGGGGATCCGACTGGGACTTTGTGCACCAAGGCAAGCACACTGTCTTACTGAGTTACTCCCCGCCCTTTTCAAAGTACTTTCAAAGTGACCCAGCAAAATGATCTATCATTTGTATCAGTGAAATATAACACCCACTGCCACCACCAACCACCCCTCTTACCACTGTTAAAGTAAAACAGTTCTAGTCCCTTACATCATTCCAATTCTATCACTCCATGCTCCATTTTGCCCTATTCCAAAGGATGAACCATTGATCAGAATAAAACAGACACAAAGGCAGTGGGAAACATTAGTGATTTGATAAAAGTGATCTACTTTTGTATAGTGCTTTCTAGTTTCTATGGTGTTTTCATCCAATGATCTGATTATATTTTCTCACTACAACTCTGTGAGGTAGTTAGCAAAGATATTATTCCCATGTAATAGCTGGGGAGCTTTAGTCTCGAGAGATAAAGCGGTTCCCCAAAGTCACCCAGCTAACAAAGTGGAAAGTCAAGTGTTTAGGTCACTTGACTCCATTTCTGGGGTTTATCCCCCATATAATCTATAATTGGCAGGCAATTAAATGAATTGCTCATGATCATACACCTGCTAAGTGTGGGTAACGGGATTGGGATTTAGCCTCCAAATCTGTTAGTATGGTACCCATTCACCATACCAACTAGCTAAGACAATGTGCTTCAAATAACTGACACAAGACACAGCCAACCAAGCACCATCGCTCTTTTCTACCCATGACTTCAAGCCCTCTCCTTCACCCTCTCCAAGTCAACAATGTGTCCAAAATGGGCTTAACCTCTGATTCATGTGCTGTTTCCAGAATAGTGCCTAGGGTACAGACTTAAACTCTGTAACCCATCTCTCATCTCTCATCTATCTACTGATCGGTTGTTGCCATTAAGCTAATGAGAGAGAGAGAGAGAGAGAGAGAGAGAGAGAGAGAGAGAGAGAGAGAGAGAGAGAGAGAGAGAGAGAGAGGGAGGGAGGGAGAGAGGAGAAAGAGAGAGAGAGAGATTAAGAGCAGTGAACCTAACTGAGTTCTGCCATTAAATTAATTTAAGAATTACATTCCCAGCCCTTCAACACGTTGTACGGTCAGATCTAAAATTGGGGAATAAGGAAACAACACCAATGAGGTTTTGGATAGTTTTCTCTGGTCAGTTGGCTCCAAAAGGCTGCTCTGTGGCTTACCCAGTGGGATCAGCCTGATACTTAGTAAGTTTTTATAGCTTTCCTTTATGTGTGTCATACTTAGTCTTTTAACTGAGAATGGAGTGAATAGTATCTACTTTTTGAAAAGGCACCGGGTCTATCATCCCAACCCTGAAATACATGTAAACTTCTCTCAGACCAGAATTGTTAGGCTTCCTGTCTCTTGCACAGTATTTAGGAGAGGGCAGAGTAAGTCTCAGTCATGAAAACGGAAGTACGTTCAAACACGTTTATCAACTCTACAGGACTGTCTGAGCATGCCAGATCTAAGCTTTGTGCTCAGAAATGTCGTGTGGCAGTTACTCTGAAGACAGTGGCTTCCATAATGCTGGTGCCCACCAGGGGCCACATCTGTGTGTGGAAGAGAAGCAACTGTTCATGGTCTGGTATACCAGTCTTCCTTTAGGAAAACTGGCTCCAGGGGTACAGGCACTGTGATTTTTTCTGAGCTTACACATGGAGATGGGCTTCTACTGGAAGATGAGCTATGTGTTGAAAGAGGGTGAGCCACACCTGCCCCTCTAGGCCTGTGATTCTCTAACCTTGGCCCACCACAACCCTGAGAGGGGCAAGGGAAGCATGGTCCCGTCAATCCACGGTCCACACATAGCCAAACACCTCACTACAGTATTTGGTGGTCCTTATGTACAAAATATATACAGTGTGTCCTACAGTGATGAAAGGAGGGGGCTGACTGATGTTCTTGAGTATGAAATGACACACACGTTAGGCATATTGGGAGATCACATGGGGGTAATAACTCAGTGAATTTTCTAAGAGTCATCCTCCACACAGCTGTGAAATGTGGTGGTGGGTGACAGAAACTACAGACTCCAGGGTAATTTCCCACGGAACCTGGGTCTGCAGCAGCTCTAAAGGGGGCAGGGAAGCGGAGCTGGGGAGAGAGCCTCCCCTTCAATCTGTTGTCCAGATGTAGCCAAATACCTAGTTAGATATCTGACAGCACACACACACACACACACACACACACACACACACACACACACACACACACACACACACGCACACGCACACACGCGCTCGCGAGAGAGAGACTGATTTCCCTCGAAGATGAAAGCAAGGGATTTGATCATGCTGAAAAGGACGAAGGAGCTTCTGCTGCACACGGAGGCAGGCAGAGACATGCACATGTACTACTGAGCTACACACCATTTCTAGACTTGAGAAATGTGTCTCCTAAAAGCCATCTATCCACAAGACATCATTGACAGGAACCTTCAAGTCTAGGTGAGTAAGTTTCTATTCACTATAGGCCTGTAAAGGGGAAGCGGGCAGCTTAGGGAAACACGAGTTCCCTCTAAACAGCTACTCAGGCATTAGCAAATACTTGACATACTAGCTAGCAAAAATATACATACAAAAATAATTGACATTTACTATGTCTCATCATGATGCAATTAATTTTCCACTTTGGGCAGAAGGGAGGTGAAGTCTTAGACTAATTATATGATTTGGTAGATTCCCCCAAAATGTATGTTTTATCTTCTAGTAGCTATCTTCAATATGTAAATACTTATGGAAATGTCACTTTACAAGCCATTTAAAATCCATAATGATAAAACAGCTGATTAGTAATAAATAATCTCATAAACTCTTAAGCTAAAAACAGTATGATTTTAAAAATAATGTTCTACTATCTTGCTTTAGTAGTATTAATAACTCCTTATAAAAAGGAATAGCTGTGATCCAAATCTAATTTTTTTCTTGCTTTTTGCCAGGGAGTGTTAACAACTGCAACCTGCTCTCCAAAATGTGGTGCTGCAGACAACACTCTGTGGGGTGAGGACTTCTTAAGAAATGAAGGCAAGAGAGTGAATGAGGAAAGGAAAAGGATTGCTTGTAGAAGTTTGCTAGGATCTCTGCTTTTGAAGAAGTCTGTGACCAAGACATAGATAGCATCCTCCCTTTGATAACATGGTAACCAAAAATTATGATTAAAATACATCTTACATATTTCACCCAGGTAGAACTGATGACTGCTTATCAATCAACAATCTAGAGGGAAGAAAGGAGACAGTTACTTACACATTGCTAATTCCCAAAGACGCTTCTTACCATGGCCAAGAAGTCAATGCTGAGAGCTGGGAAGATCTGTGCCATAGCACACCATCGGTAGTATTTATGTCATGTAGGCACAACATGCATAAAGTAATCTCAAGAACATAGTTTTGGCTTTACCAGAATTGATTTCACTGTAAGTGCATGCCACTAATATGTTTTGGTTGGGGGAGGGTGGCTTAGGGGTCTCCTGTAGCTGGCTGGCTTCAAATTTCTATGTAGCCAACATTGATCTTGCCTCCTCTCCCAGTGTTAGGATCACCAGTACATGCCACCACACCTGGCTTCCCTTAATTTATAGTAGTGCTATGTTGAGCAACAATTCACAGAATTCTTGAAAACTGAGCAACCAGCAAACCTGTACAAACTGGCTATAGCACATTCAATTGAGTGACAGGGAAAGAAAAATAAGACTGAAAACAATCAATGGAATGTACTAATACATTTTCAGATTGACAGGAAGATAAAGGATTGGGGATGACTCAAAAAATGTCATCATGCACTCCTTATTATATCCTGAAAAATAAAAAAAAAACAAGTCAAGAAAATGAGATGTTTCAAAGGACTTTTACTTTTAGCTGGGGATATTTATAGAACAAGTAAGTATCCAGTTTCTCCCTCCAAGTGTCCAGTTTTTAAAAGGCTTCTCTAAACAGATTCCAAGTGCTTTTCAAGCTAAGTTATTTACACACTCACTACCAAGCAACTCAGGAACCCCCAGTAACTAAAACTATACAGGACTGGTCCCACGATCTGCAAGGGACAGCAGCTTCTTTTGCTCTGTCAACAGCACAAGAGGTATCACCTTTGTAAGACCCAAAGTCATGAAGAGAAGGGGAACAAGAGGGGTGCTGTGTAGGGGAAGTAGAGTAAAGGAAGAAAGGGAGATACTATGACAGTTATCTTCATTGTCAACTTGATGGGGTTTGATGTCACACAGAATGGTAACAGAGAAGTTTAGCCAAGGAGGGAGGACTCACCCCGCATGTGGGTAGCTCCATTCCATAGGCTGGGGTCTCAGACTGGGGAAAAGGAAAAAGCAGGCTGAGTCCCAGCATCCATCTCTCTCTGCTTCCTGTCTGTGAACATGATGTGACCAGCCACCTCATGCTCCTGCTACCTACCATTCTTCTCTGTCATGGTGGACAGTACCCTAAAACTGTGAGCCAAAATGAACCCATTCTTCCTAATGTTCCTTTTGCCAGCTATTTAGTCACAGCAGTGGGCAGAGGAGCAGGCACAGCTACCACACAGAGGCTGCCACAGACTGTTATCTGCGATAGGAGAGAGAAGTGATTATTTGCAGCCAAACACTTCTGTTATTTGTTACCTTAATTTTGCACATCACTGTCCAGCTGTTATACTAAGAAATCAATGCTATCATTTCAGTTGTGTTTTCACAGGCTTTGTCTTTGAGGTGACAAATATCTGAGTAACTGACAATTAATTTTTACCTAATGTTTGCAAGTGTCTGGATTGACCATGTCGTGTGATAAAAAGTGGCACCTTATTTTAGCCAAAAGGTAGTGAAGCAACTGCATGTGACAAAAATCTATATAATTAACTGCAATGCCCACAATTTATCCTGTGAACTTGTCATGCTAAAGATGAAGCATCAATTGCTTTTAAATTTTGCCAATTCTTTTCAAACTTTTATTAAGGTGCCATTACCTTTTAAACTTACTTTAATCACATGTATGTATATGGGAGGTATGTACATGAGTGTGGATGCTCTCAGAGGCTAGAGGCATCAGATTCCCTGAAGATGGAGTTATAGGCCGTTGTTAGTTGCTTGACATAAGTGCTGGGAACTGAACTCTAGTCCTCTGGAAAAGTAGCAAGCACTCTTAACTACTGAGCCATCTCTCTAGTCCATAAGATGCCGTTATTATTGTTTTATTTGGGAATGTGTTACTTTGAAATTTTCTTTTAGTAAGACTTAGAAATTTTCTATTATGTTTGGATAGCCTTTCAACAGCTTTATAAATAATTGTCTATTAAATACAATTTTGTTTGGAGATGTAACTCAGAGGTAGAGTGCTTGCCTAACATGCACAAGGCCCTGGGTACAATCCCCAGTACCACACACCTACAGAAATACATTTAATCATCAATAAAGACAAGTGTGTGAATTATCAGTATACTCATGGGATAGTAAACAGTTAATTTGCTAGTGCTATGTTAAAGTGCTTCCTAAGGGGGATCCCACTGACTGTCAGTCGGGCATGTGCACAAAGAGAGACATTTTTCTGGAATTAACGGAGAGTTTGTGAAAGATTGGCAATACTTACTTCTTATGTGGTCAGTAGCACACATTCTTATGTACTCAGCCTAACTCAAAGTGATACATGTAAACAGAGATAGGCCTCTACTGCAATCAGCTACAAACACATGCTAGATCCCATTCCATGACTAAAACATGTTCATGTAAGAAAGCAAGACAACCCAACATGAAAGTGGTTAAAATCATCTCCAGCGTTGTCACTGTCTAAGATCTGTATCATCCTATTTGTGCAGGCTGCCAGGTGTGTCCAGGAGCAAGTCAAACCGCTACACGCATTTCAGAATCTCACATAAATAAGTAGTGCTAAAAAAGAGTAACAGTTAAAATTACAGTTAACGGAAATGAACAGCCTTAGATCAAATGGTCCCATGGAGAAGAGGATGAGTTTGTGTTGTTTTTCAGATGGCTGCGTAGTGTGACTTCACCTCTTTTAGGGAGGTTTACCTCCGGTCTCCTTCAACTCTCTTCTTTCGAACTAGGTAAGAGAGAAACAAAAATTTAAGAAGACAAATGGAAGAAAAGGATAATCTTTAAAGTCATTCTAGAGCAGTGGTTCTCAACCTCCCTAATGCTTCGACTCTTTAATACAGTTCCCTGTGTTGTGGTGACCTCCAAACATAAAAGTATTTTCATTGTTACTTCATAACTGTAATTTTGCTACTCTTTACTTATGAATAGGTAAATATCTGATATGTAGGATCTCTGACCCACAGGTCGGGAACCACTGACCTAGAAGATAGTACGCAATCCACAAAACTCTATGCCAATACCCGAGGTAATGAATCATCTTCAACTCTAGCATTCAATGAACTATGACAATAAATGGAAATGGCAAAATACTCTGGCATGAAGAGGAATTTAAATTTAAATGAAGCTGTGTCTGGTAGCTGGGAACATCTCTGTGTGTCTACGGAGGAGTCAGTCCAAGAAAGGTCAGAAAGCAGTGAACTGCTACGTGTTTTCAAGGGGACTTACACAGAGGTATGTCCTTGGCTTCTGTGTAGTTCTGTCACCAACCAGCCTTTGCAAAGTTCCCAGGTGAACACAGCCTCACCCATTACCCCTGACTATGGCTGGGAGACTATAAAGAGAAGCTCAGGCCGGGCGGTGGTGGCGCATGCCTTTAATCCTAGCACTCAGGAGGCAGAGGCAGGCGGATCTCTGTGAGTTTGAGGCCGGGCTGGACTGACAGCCTCCAAAACAATACAGAGAAACCTGTCTCGTAAAACTAAAAAAAAAAAAAAAAAAAAAAAAAAAAGAGAAGCTCAGATTCCCCAAATCTCATCTTGACTAACAACTCCTAAGTCCTAGATGTGGTGGAGTACACCTGAAGTCATAGTATTCTGAAGGCTGAGGCAGGAGAATCAGGAATTGGAGGCCAGCCTGGGCTACATAGTAAGTTCCAGTACAGTTTGGGATATACAGCATGATTTTGTCTCAAAACAAACAGACAATTAATTCCAGACTAGAGAGATGACTCAGTGGCTAAGAACACTGGTTGCTGTACCAGAGGTCCTGAGTTCAATTCCTAGCAACTATATGGTGGCTCACAACCATCCATAATGAGATCTGGTGCCCTCTTCTGGTCTGCAGGCAGACATGTAGGCAGAACACTATACACATAATAAATCTCAAGAAGGAAAAAAAAAAAACCCAAACCAAACAATTCCTAAATATTGGTCTTCAAAAAAAAAATGAGTGGTTTAGACAACAGACAAAATCAGAGATTGAGGTTCCTTTAAACCAGTGCTTGGGATCAAAGACACTGTCAAGATGGCCTGATTTGGGGGCTAAGTGGTTAAGGGCACGTGTTCTTTCAGATGACCTAGGTTCAATTCCTAGCACCCACATGACTGCTCACAACTTGCCATAACTCCAGATCCAGGAGAAGGGAGCTCCTTGTGACCTTTGAGGGTACCAGACACATATGTGGTACACAGACATACATACAAACTAAACATTCATTCACATAAATCAAATAAATCTTTAAAACTTGGCTGATTCAGTCAGGTGGTGGTGGCACACACCTTTAATCCCAACACTCAGGAGGCAGAGGCAGGCAGACGGATCTCTATGAGTTTGAGGCCAGGCTGGTCTACAAAGTGAGTTCCAAGATGGCCAGGGCTGTTACACAGAGTAAGCCTGTCTCAAAAAACAAAATACAAAATAAAATAAAATAAAATAGGCTGATTCTATCCTTCTCTCCCCTCTTCTGACATAGCCCAGGTTGGACCTCAACCAGGGTTTTCCTGCATTAGCCTCCTGAATGCTGGAATTACAGGCACACACTACCAAAGCTGACAGCATTCCTGGTTTCCACAACACTTTTCTTCTCTTTTCATTTCCTAGGCTGCAGACTCTTTTGGTTGATAACAAAGGGCTTCTGGAAGCTTCCTGGATACTGGTACCCTGTCTGAGGTACCCTTTAACTCTATACTTTCAGTAGCCCAAGCTATAGGAAAGCTGCTGCCTACAATGGCTGTTCCTGGGCATGGGATCTGTTGACAATACTTCCAGAGCCTTGCTTTGCCTATTTTTCTTTTGTTTTCTGGGCTGCTTAGGTATAGACCAAACATGCTTTCTTTCTGGTTGTCTCCTTCCTTTCCTAAGGCTTCCTGCTGGGTCAAGGGTCTCACTCTCTGTACCCAATGGGTAAGTATGGCCCTATGTCCTACCAGTGTCTTTCTCTCTCCCTTGTCCAAGGTCCGGTACACTGTCCCCAAATCTCAAACAAGGGACTCAAACCTGTTGCCGGCTGACTGACAAGTGGACTTGTCCAGTCTTAGATATCCCTCTGCTATGCTGCTCTAGGTAGCTAAGGTGTCCCCAGACAAAGCCTTCCCAATCCTTCTACACTGTGAGTGGCCAGGCAATGCCCTATCTCCTTCTAACAGAAGGAACAGTGTGGATCCCCAGCAAAGTGTAACAGTATGGGAAGGCAAAGAGAGGCCTCCCTGAAAAGCTCCGTCAGAGTTTTCCTGTGTAATGTAGTTGTATTAGAGTACTTCACATATAAAACACATAGGTGTTCGTGTCCCCACATTTAAGCCTGAGTATTGAAAAAAGTGCCATCAAAAGTCAAACATAAGGAACACGGGGTTGCCATGCGCTGTGTCCAAACAGAGAGAGTACCATTAGCATGGAAGGAGGAGGAGGAAAGGGGGAGGGGAGGAGAGAAAGGGGAAAGGGAGCAGAAGAGAGGAGAGGGGAGGGAAAGAGGGGAGGAGAGGCAAAGACAAAGAAATCAAGCAAGAGCTAAGCTAGAGTAAACAGCTCTTCTACAAGAATGCTGTGTTGAAGTTTTAACACCTGGAAGACCAGAGGATTGCCGTGACCACTAGCTCAGCTGCAAGGCATCTGAGATGCTGCCTCCAAAGTGGGAAGATAAATGTCCCCAGTGCTCTTCCTATAGCACAGATCACATCTGCCTTACCCAGGTCGTTATTCTTTGTGATGGCAGCTGCCACTCTTGTCCGTGGCCCTTGCTTGGTAAACTGGTACCCAAACTTGAGGATCCTTGAGTTCTCCTCCAGCATCTGGGCTATCTCCATCTCCACAGCTGTTCCCAACTGCTGCCTCTGGTTGTGGGTACACACAGATATACACAGGATAAACAGGAAGTGAAGGAAACAGTTACAGGGGAAAACCTCATGACTACCTCCACAAAAAAAGTTCAAACAGAAAGGGAGAAAGCCACCTGAGATGTTCCCTCCCATGCCGTCCTTAGGTCTGGCTCTTAATCTAGGAACAGAATGTAGACAGCCCAAACTACAGGTATTCAAAAATGAAAGCAAAACCAACCAACCAACCAAACAAACAAACAAAAGCAACAAAAATAAGAAGTCAGGCTGGTGACCTCAGGCATGAGGACCTGAATTTGGATCATGTTATTAAGTCAGGCATGATGACATGAACCTACAACTCCACAATGGATGTGTGTGTGTGTGTGTGTGTGTGTGTGTGTGTGTGTGTGTGTGTGTGTGTGTAGAGACAGGTAAATCCCAGCAGTCACTGGCCAATCATTGAGCTCCAGGTCCAGTGGCAGACCCTATTACAAAAACTAAATCTATGGTGGGATGTGACAAGAAGGAGACATTTAACATAAACCTCTGACCTCCACATGCACACACATGTATTACACACTCACATGCATATGAACACACACATAATCAACAACAGCAAAAGCCCAACAGCAAACAAGAACTCCTTTGTGAAGAACAGATGAACTGGGTACTTGACTATAACTGCAGGACTCGGGAGACTAAGGCATGAAGATCTTCAAGGCTAGCCTGTGCTAACCAATGGCGCTGTCTCAAAAACAAATACGGGACACAAAACAAGCAAAAATAAAGAGAAGGAAATTCCTGAGTGAGTTTAAGCAAAACTCATAGTTGTTTTTCCAAGTCATTCAGTGCTGTGCTAGCAGGATTACAGCAGGGATATCTCTAAGGCAGTGGGGAAGTCTGACAGCCATCAACTCAAATACTGAATCCGTACCCCAAAATAAGTAAATATCTAGGCTGGAGAGATGGCTCAGCCACTAAGAGCACCTACTATTCTTCCAGAAGACCTTTATTTGATTCCCAGCACTTATGTTGGGCAGTTCCCAACCTTCTGTAACCCTAGAATCGGATGTCTCTGACCTCTGACCTCTGGCACACACACCACTAAAAAATAATAGTTAAAGATCATTCATCAATGACCTCTTAAAAGCAAGCCTCAGGACCACCCCACTTTCTTTCCAATCATAGTCTCCGTAAGAGACAAAGTCAAAGCTGCAGCAGCGCTGGGCTTTGACTCAGGCTACAAGCAGCCGTCAATACCCTGCTACCTGGCTAGCTTAGGCCATGGGTAGCTGGCTCTTTGTGGGTTCACTGGTCTGCCATGAAGTTTACTTAAGAACATGCTCCTGGGCTGGGGCGAATGCTTAGTCAGCAAAGTGCTTGTCACACAGCATGAGGACCTGACTTCAATCCCTGGGACCCACATGGAAAATGCTGGTAGGTTGGTGTGCATTTGTAATCCCAGTGCTGGGAGGCAGAGACAAGGGGATGCCTGGAGTTCCCAGCAAGCCAGTTTAGACTGTCTCAAAAAATGTTGGTCACCATCTGAAAAAAGATAGCTGAGGTTGTCCTCTGGACTCTACATGCACACACACACACACACACACACACACACACACACACACACACACGAGAGAGGGAGAGGGAGAGGGCCAGAAGCTGTTCAGGTTTGTAAGGCATCAGAAGACCCACCAAGTCCACACAGAGCTTTGAGCTTTAGCCCACTCCCTGTGGGTCTCCCCCCGCCCCCCACCAACCGATTGTCTAAGCTGTAAGCTAGCTTTGCCTTTGCTCCCTTCTGTACCTGGTTGTCGATCTTGATCTCTGTCAAGCTGTCATTCTCCTTCAGGGCTTCCACCAGGGCCAGGATTCCAGTGCCAGTGATGAAATTGGATTCTATGTTTAGACTTTTCAAGGTCTTGTTGACTTTTAGCATATCTGCAAAAGCCTTAGTGTACAGAAACAGTCGTTAGGGTTTCTAATGATTGGTTTCATGAACATCTCTCCCGAATTAAAAAAAATGTTTTACAGCACTTAAAGAAAACACTTTCATCTTCAATTAAAATTAAAGTTTAGAACCGCAGTTAAAAATTAAAATAGGCCAGGCGTTGGTGGCACATGCCTTTAATCCCAGCACTTGGGAGGCAGAGGCAGGTGGATCTCTGTGAGTTCGAGGCCAGCCTGGTCTACAGAGCTAGTTCCAGGACAGCCTCCAAAGCCACAGAGAAACCCTGTCTCGAAAAAACAAAAAAAAAAATTAAAATAGGGTGGTGGTGGTGCACACCTTTAATCCCAGCACTCTGCAGGCAGATCTCTGTGAGTTTGAAGCTAGCCTGGTCTACAGAGTGAGTACCAAGACAGCTATGTCTACACAAATAAAAAGAAAAGAAAAGAAAAGAAAAAATTACAATAGTTTAGTAGAGGTTGGAGAGACAGCTCGGTGGTTCTGAGCACTGGCTGCTCTTCTGGAGGACCTGGGTTTGATTCCCAGCACCTACATGGTGAGTGTGAGTGCACGTTTTCTTTTATCTTTAATTATTGTTTTTATGTAGGGTGTTCTTCTTGCATGTAAGTCTGTGTACCGTGTGTGGTTGAGCCAGTAGAGACCAGAAGAGGGTGTAGGAATGGGAACTGGAGTTACAGACAGTTGTGATCACCATGTAGGTGCTGGGAACAAAACCTCTGGAAGATCAGCCAGTTCCCTTAAACACTGAGCTCTCTCCAGCCTCTGTCTGTCTGTCTATCTGTCTCTCTGCCTACCTGCCTGTTTGCACCCCCCCTCCCCTGTGTGTGTGTGTGTGTGTGTGTGTGTGTGTGTGTGTGAAGACAGACACTCAGGTAGTCCAGGCTGGTCTTGAACTTGCCATGTAACTGAGGTTGGACATAAAGTGCTGATCTTCCTGAGTCCACCTCACAAGAGCTGAGATTACATACTCACTAAATGAACACATATTTATTTGTTTGCTTATTTATTTTTCTATTAGGTATACAGTATTCTGCCTGTATGTATACTTGTATGCCAGAAGAGGGCACCAGATCTCATTACAGATGGTTATAAGCCACGATGCAGTTGCTGGGAATTGAACTCAGGACCTCTGGAAGAGCAGCCTGAGCCACCTCTCCAGCCCCCAAATGAACACATTTTAATACTAGTTTAAAGCGTTCCAGTACCAAGAAATTTCAAAAACATACATCTAACTGATGCTGGGGAGATGGTTGCGAGCACTTGCTGCTCAATCATGGAAACAAGTGTCCACAGCCTAGCATCAAGAGGCTCACAAACACCTGTAAGTCCAGCTCCAAAGGATCTAATGCCCTCTTCTAGCTTCCATGGGTACACCCACACTCACATGTGCATACTTAGACACATACATGCAGATGCACATAGACACACACATACAAAGATAACATCTAAATAAATATAAATATAAAATATACATATAAAACTTCAAGTATATTTTGATCCCACCCAGATGAATATGAACTGAGTCAGGATGTCGAAGGCTGTGGTCTGGCCTTCTACTCCTTGAGTGAATAAACAGTTGATTGGCAGCCACTTTAATTAAAGTCTTAAAGGCAATAAGTAGAAGAATGAAAAACAAATTGCTAATAGGGATTGCTTCTAGGGAGTAGACCAAGGAAGTTCTAAACTATTTTAATTATCTTAATGGCAGTTAGGACAGAGGAAGGAAGAGAAGGAATTCCATATGAAGAGGAATTCTCGACCTTGGCATGGCTAAGGCCTAGGTGTGGAGAGTTCTATGCTATGGGTGTCTGTCCTGTGTTGTAGATCTGTCCGCAGCCTCTCCAGCTTCTGAGACCTAACACATGCCAGCAGTACTGTCCTCATCACAACAGCCCCAACCATCTCCTGCTCTTGGGCTGAGGTTCACTAGGTCAGAGTAAAAATCCTGTGTATTGGCAGTTGTTTGAACTGAAAACCCAGGGATATGAGCTGATGGCACATTTATTCAATAGCAGTGAGCTCTCTCCCTGTTTCTGTTTTGATGCTGATTTATGGAGACAGGGTTTCCCGATGTAGTCCTGGCTGTCCTGAACTCACTCTGTAGGCCTGACTGGCCTTGAACTCAGAGATCTGCCTGTCTCTCTCTCCCAAATGATGGGATTAGAGGAATGCACCACCACACCCAGCTTAACACTTGATCTTAAAATTAAATGTACACATTTTAATCAGAGCATGAGAAGGGAGTTCTGCAAGCCTTTCCCTTTGGGACACACCAGGCTTTGGCATAAAACTTGCAGTTCCAGAATAATGAAATGTCAGAGCAATTAGTTCTTTACAAAAACTTTCAGGGCCTCCTGGCAGGCAGCCAAGATCATGCTGCTTTATCTTAAACTTGAGAAAACACTTTTTTTTTCTCAAACTGAACAAAAGGGAGCACACGCAGCCAAACATAACTTGGAGTTACTACACACAAGTTCACTTCAGTTCAGCATCTATTCCATGTGCTGGGATAATAATGTCAGGAAAACATAGATATGAGTTCTTGAATGTTATATAAATAATTAGAGTAGAAATACATGCCTTAAAAAAAAGATTTGCTTTCTGTGCTCTATGGGATTATACAAAAACATAATTTCCTGGGGCTAGAAAGATGGCTCAGCACTTCAGCGCACATGCTGCTCTTGGTGAGGACCCAAGTTCAGTTCCCAGCACCCACATCAGGCTGCTCACAACTACCTGTAACTCCAGCTCCAACAGTCCAGAAACCTTCTTTGGGACTTCATGAACACCTGATCGCATGTGTGTGTACACACACACACAAATGTACAATTTAATTAAAAATGAAAATAAGTCTTTTAAATCTGATTAAATCTAACAGAAACCAGAATATATAGCTTCTCTGCTGACCAAATGGTAGCCACTAGAAATATAGCTGCTAAGCCTCTGAAGATAGCTGGTTTGAACTGATCTGCTGTAAATGTTGTATGCCATGGACTTCAAAGATAAAATATGAACAAAAGGATATGGAATACCTCATTATAGTTCTAAATTATATCTATACACCTACACGTATCTATATATACTTATATTTTTAACACTTATTTTTATCTTATGCATAAGGGTATTTTGCCTGGAAGTATGTGCACCACGTACATGTACCGGAGGATGCCAGAAGAGGAGGATGTCCCATCCCCTGGAGTTACATTGTAGCTGATAGAGGATGCCAGAACAGGAAGACATCCCATCCCATCCCTTGGAGTTACATTGTAGCTGATAGAGGATGCCAGAACAGGAAGACATCCCATCCCATCCCTTGGAGTTACATTGTAGCTGATAGAGGATGCCAGAAGAGGAGGATATCAGATCCCCTGGAATTACATTGAAGCCAGTTGAGGATGCCAGAAGAGGAGAACATTAGGATTCCCTGGAGTTACATTGTAGCCGATCGACCACAGCAGGGCTCTTGTGTAAATGTAGCAGGAACCAGAAAGACCAGGTGGGGACTCTCAGTTCTGTCATTCCTTGCTACACCTGGGATAATCTAACCTCTGGTTTGTTACAGTGGGAACTAACAACAATGCACACTCAGAGCTCTCCAGTGATGAATGGGGGAGGCAATGCATGCAAACCTGAGCGATTAGTAACGCAGTCACTAATTCCTTGGCTTGGAATTAGGAAAGCAGACAAGAGGAATGGCAGTGATGCTATGGCAGTAACAGTGTTTACTTGGGCCAAAGCTTTCCTGTTGGATCCTGGCGGTGGTGGCCACCCCTTTAGTCCCAGCACTTGGGAGGCAGAGGCAGGTGGATCTCTGAGTTTGAGACCAATCTGGTCTACAAGAGCTAGCTCCAGGAAAGCCTCCAAAATCACAGAGAAACCCTGTCTTGAAAAAACAAAACAAAACAAAACCAAAAAACGTCTTCCTGTTGGGATGAATTGCCTAAAATGCATAAAAGGACTTGGAGTTTGGTTGTCTTCCTTCTCATATTCTAATTATCTGAATGTCAAACAAAATGGTTCAGTATTTTGATTGTTTAAAGTATGCTTGGAAAATTAACCCACATAAAGATTAAGATAAAATCTACTCTGACTTTTTTTATATGTGCCAAGCTCAAGTAGGCTTTTTGGGGTCATAACATCCAATGACTGTTAGAAAGTTACTATAGAAGCAAATGTTTCAGAATGACTTTTTTCAAAACAGAACAAACTCTAAATATTTATTTAGCTAAATGCCAAGATGCTTTTCTTGTTTCACTTTTGGAATGTGCAGCACTGACAAGAATCCAGTTAATTCATTATGCTTGCAGTATATACAGGCTCTGAGCCTGTGCCTCAGAACTGTAAATTCATCTGATTAAGTTGACCAGATCAATCTAAGACTTTTGATTGATAAAATAAATTAAAACGAATCTCTAAGAGCCAGCGATGAGGATTTCATGCCTAAATCTCAGCACTAGGTAAGCTGAGGCAGGAGGATTTCTGGGAATTCAAGGCCAGTCCAAGAAACAGTGAGCACAAACCCAGGCCGCATAGTAAGATCCTATCTCAAGACTATTAAAAGCAAAGTCAGCTAATTTTAAAGAATAAGAACAAAACTACAAATAGAGTTTCCAATGAGTTGAATGACTTCATACTGTGTTTCAAGTCTTACTCACAAGGGCCACAGGGTCATTGCTGCGGGTTGCAGCGAGGCTGAACTTCTTCACATGGGTGTTGGTCTCCAGAGCCTTTGCAAAGTCCTTCAGAGTTGGAATTGGAATGTTCTAAAGCAGAGAAGACAGGGCTCGTTATAAATCACTCACAACACACTCACCCTCAACTTGAAAATATTTTTTCATTTTGGATTGGACCCAGAGTCTCACATGTGCTAAGCATAAGCTCTGAGCTCCACTGTCAGCAAACCCTCCCCACCCCTAACTTTTAACTATCACCTTTATTTAGATGGCTGATTACATATCCTCTTTATAAGTTTTATTGCCCATGTGTGATAACTAAGCTAGTCTGAGTGAATAGCGCCTCCTAGTGGCTAGTAAAGGAATGAGACACAAAAGATTTTTCTTTTTTCTTTAAGAACTATTGAGCCTTGGACAGCAGATTGGTACCCATCCCAAGTATACCCACGGACTTTGGACTCCCATAGAACAATGTGAGGTGCACTCTCACCCTGAACTCTTGGGGAAGGGTCTAGGCCCTGCCCTATATGAAATGACAGACTATGGACACCCCCATGGAGGGCCTCACCCTCCCTGAGGGAATGAGGGGATAACGGGGGGGGGGGTTGGGGGGAGGGCATGGGAGGAGGGGAGGGAAAGGGAGAGGGACCTGGAACTGACTTGTGAAGCAACCTTGTTTCTTATCTAAATTTAAACTGGAAAATAAAATTAAAAAAAAAAGAACTGTATTCTAGGACAGGTCTCTCATAGACATACCCTTAGATACGCTTTTCCCCTTGGCCTGAAAATTCCTGTTGCCTTTTCCTCTAATTATTATCTACTCATCTCTGAAGACCCAGTTGAAATATTTCCCCTCTTTTGTTTAAGAGTTCTCCTAGACACTTCCAACCTTCCCTTTCCTACAATTCCATAACACTTTGGAACTTACCACACCGTGCTGCCAACATTTGGCTAGTGTTTTTCTCCTTCTATAACTATTGTAAGTAAAGACTGGATGGATTTTAACTTGGGTCTCCAGGAACCCAGGCTGGCTTCAGTCTGGCCTCAATTTCACTATGTGGCCAAAGTCCCTTGAACTCAGGGTGATTCCCCTGCTGCTACCTCTACAAGGTGGAGTCTCTGCCCACAGTCACATGGGCATACTATGTTGGAAATGGAACCTTTGGATACAAAGTGAGAGCAGCCACATTTGTTTGCAACCCTTTCTTTCCTTTCTCCTTAGATGTATTAACTGTCGTTTATGAGTGTTTTGCATGCATGTATGGATGTATGCTTGCACTCTTTCTTACATGTCACACAGCACAGTACTGGTTGCCATGGAAGGAAGCAGCAGGCAGCAAGGGACAGCAATGGACATGCACCGGGCTGCATTGTGGACAAGCTGAACGACAGGTGATCCAATGCTCCCTTCTGACCTCCACAGGCAACTTCGCTCGTGCTCATACCCCCACACAGACATCTCTATACATAGCAAAAACCAAATCTTTAGAAGCAATATTAAATGCTGGGAACCAGCCCAACAAGAATGAACAAAACAAGCCAGGATGATGGTACGGTCTGGAATACCACCCACCTTCATGGAGGCAGAGGTAGGAGGATGGGGAATTTGAGATCAGTGTGGTTTACACAGCAAGTTTAGAGTTTAAAAAAGTCTGTCTTGGCAGCACAGTGAAATCTTGTCTCAAACTAGCCAACCAATAAACCAGCCAACCAATGACCTGAAGAGAGTGAATAAAACAAGCCTTACTCAATTCATATTTGTTCATGTTCCTCCCCCTCTTCCCTTCTCTTCTGGCCTTTGACAGCAGCATGACGTCAAACAAGGTCCATTAACTACACTGTGGGAGAAGACTTCTGGGACTTTGTGAGAAAGGCTCAAGTAAACAAGACAAGAATCTTGTAATCTCTACTCCTCCATAACGTGGTTCTTCTTGGAATGGGCCTTCCAACCCTCCCAAGGTGGAGGGCACAGGAATGTGTTTACTTTACATTGTTCATTACAGCTGGCTAGTGTTATTTGCTTATATGACTCTGTAGGAAAAAACCCCTGTGTTTGCCACAAGTGACTTGACCTTGTGACTGTCCACTTTACTCAGGTGACTCTTCTTAACACTCAGAGTACAAATGGTCTGATGCTCTGAATAAAGTTGGCTATTGCATGAGACTTTAGTATGGCTCGTTTTTTAGGCCCCACTTTCCCACATTCACAATGCCATGTAGGGTGGCAAGAAAACGACTTATCTTCAAAAAGAACAAGGGGGAAATGACAATGGCAATCCGTGACTTCAGACACCAGGTCACTGAAAATACTGTTATGCTTTTCTTGCTATTTTAAAGAAAATGTTTATTTTAGTCTTTGTGTGTGTGTGGGGGTATGTTGTACATGTAAGTATAGGTACCCACAGAGGCCAGCAGTGTTGGATTCCCCTGGATCTGGAGTTACAGGTGGTTGTGAGGCACTTGAGATGTGCAGGGAACTTGGGTACCTTGCAAGAGAAGCGATTGATTCTAACCACTGAGCCTTCACTCCAGTCTGGCTTCTTGCTTTTATTCTGGGGTCACTTTCTTTGGGGGAACCAGATGTGATTGTATGAAGACACTCAAGTAGCCCTAAAGAAAGGCCCATGTGGTGGGAAAGTGAGGTCTCTTGCCCACAGCCACATGGGCGTTGCCATCTTAGAAATGAATCCTTTGACTACCTTAGCCTGGACTGGCAGCTTCATTGTGGTCTTGTTTGAGCGCAGGTGCCAACGACCCTTCTAAGTTACTCTGGCATTCCTGACATTTGAAGCTGTGAAGAGGAAGTGGCTAAGTGGCAGAGTGCTGTGGCACACACGAGGCCTTGGGTTTGACTCCTAGCACTAGAGAAAACACCAGTTGACACTGTTATTCAGCAGTAGGTACAATGTGCTTCTTTTGGCCCTGGTACTATGATTCTTTTCAGTAAGTTCTAAATATTATTCTTCTCGTAGACCCACGTCTTTCAACTAAGTTATTCTGTCTGAAGTCAGTGACTTGAAAAGACTGCAAGCCAGTGTAAAAGCAGGCAGTTGAGGATCTCCCGCCAGCTCTGTGATGCCAGGATAAGCCAAGAGGTACAGGCAGATGTACCTTGATGTTGTTGAGGTTGACCTCTTGCAGGTTCGGGTCATTGGCCTTCATTTGCTGCAGACTTGCTTCTACATTTGTGGGGTTTGGTGGCTCCTCAAATACTGGTTTGGCCTTTTCACCTTTGACAACATCTACAACACAAGTTTTAATTTTTAGTGCAAGAGGTCCTCTCTCAAACTAGCAATGACTTCCCCAGAGAGCACCATTCATTCATGTAGAGTCTAACACTCTAACATCAACAAGAATGAGGTGATTCCCACAGATAGTGTAAGAAGTCCTCTATCAAACTAGTAATGACTTCTCAGAAAGTACCGCTCATTCATGCGGAGTCTAACACACTAACATCAATGAAAGTAAGTCGATTCTCACTGAGCAGGCAGGGCAGTGGTGCTTCTCTGGGTTAGCTTGTAAGGAAGATGCTTTTCAGCCCCCACGAAAGGACTCAGTGGCCGACACTGCATGAAGTCAAAGTTCAGAGGCCCTGGAGCAAACTCCAAACCCTAAGTCATCCTCTAGTTACTGCTGCACCATATGGACTTCCCCAACTATCTTCACCAGACCATAGGCTCTGAGATGCAAAAATGGACACCATTTTGTGTGATGCTGAGACTTGAACCCAGGACCTGCTCAAAGTACATGTTCTACTACTGCCCTCCTCCAATTTCCATTAGCTTTGAGAAAGGTATGGAAAGACCAAGGAATGGAAAAGGAGAATGAAAAACATCTTTAAAAAAAACAATTATTGGGGGAGATATGGCTAAGCAGTTAAGAGCACTTGCTACTCTTGCAAAGGAGTTCTAATCACCCTAAACGTGGGTCACACACATAAGTTAGTCCAGTTTCAGGGATCTGAAACCCTCTTCTGGCTTCACTGGGCAATGGATATACATATGCTCATAAAAATAAATGATAAAAATAATGAATAAAAGAAATTATGTAAGCCAGATATAGCCAGTACATGCCTGTAATACCAGAATTTGGGAAACTGAGGCAGGAGGATCATGAGTTTGAAGCCAGCCTGCACAGTGAATTTCAGGCCTGTCTCAAAACAAACAAACAAAAATCAATGCATACTAATTTATCAGGAAATATTTGGAATGTTTGTAACATACAAAGGATTAATAGTCTAATGTATAGAGAGCTTCCCCACCCCACCCCAAGAGAGGGTTTCTCTGTGTAGCCCAGACTATCCTGGAACTCAATCTGTAGACCAGGCTAACCTTAAACCCAGAGATCTGCCTGCCTTGGCCTCCCTAGTGCTGGGATTAAATGCCAGGGTATCCTTCATGCTTTCTGGGAGCATTCAGGTTCAATGACCAGCATCCACTATTAAGACAAAAAGACACTGGAATATAAAAGGGGATGTAGTCAAGCTTCCCTCAATGATAAAATATCCTCTGGAACATGAAACTCTTTTTGCATTCTGAGCTGACTCTTCAAACTTACCAGGATTTCCCCCCCTCCATTGGATAACCTGCTATGGAATGTGTGTTCTGTGGTTCTAGCCACACTGCCAGGCAGAGTAGAGTGCCCACCATCAGCTTCTCCACCGGGGTTGATTGCTCTGAGCCCAATGGTTCTGTCTAGAAGCAATGGGTCTCTTTCCTACAGGCACCAGACAGAGGCTCTGAAGCTTCCCAAGTCCCCAGATCCCTCATTCACTTACTCCTTACAGGCCCTTTGTGACCTTTGCCATTGGTCGTTTCTTCATCAAACTTTGGATTGTTGAGCAAATTATGAACTCCAAGGACAGCTGAAAACACAGGCAACAAAGACAAGCACTAAGTTTTGAAACACATATCAGAATGGCCACATGTCAGTTTGCACCTTGAAGAACAATTCTTTACATAGCACAAAGTCTCCAGGCTCCCTTTCCTGGCACAGTGTGTGGTGTGTGTACAGCATTCAATAAACTTACTGCTAAAATCTCCCAAGACCATCCGTGATTCTACATGCCTCTGTGTGTTTAAATGTACAGGATCATTTGGGAGCTGAGAAACAACTGTGTAGCCACATCTTCCAACCACTTCCAGCCAGCTAGGTCCCTGTGCCTGTTAGTCTTTTTTTTTTTCTGATAAATTTTATTTAAATTAGAAGCAATCTTATTTTACATATCAATCCCAGTTCCTTCTGCCTCCCATCCTCCCATGCCCCCCACCGAACCTCCATCCCACTCCCCATCCACTCTCCAGGGAGGGTGAGCCCTTACATGAGGGATCATCAAAATCTGCCAAGTCATTTTGGGCAGGGCCTAGGCCCTCCCCTGTGTATCTAGTGCCGGTTAGTCTTAATTGTCAATTTGACACAACCTGAAGTCACCTGGAAAGATCCTTTTTTTTTTTTTTTTTTTTTGGTTTTGGTTTTATGAGACAGGGTTTCTCTGTATTGTTTTGGTGGCTGTCGGTCCAGCCCGGCCTCGAACTTACAGAGATCCGACTGCCTCTGCCTCCCGATTGCTGGGATTAAAGCCATGTGCCACCACCGCTTGGCCACCTGGAAAGATCTTAATGAAGAATTATCCAGATTACTCTGGCTGGCAGTCATGTCTGTGGGGGCGGGTTGTCTTGATCATTATTGATGTAGAAAGATCTAGCCCCCGGTGAGCAGCATTACTTCATGGGCTGGCTGGACCCTGAACTGGGCAAGAGAGAAGCAGGCCAGCTGCACAGAAGCAGCAGTACCTATGTGTTATTTCTCTTTGCTCTTGGCTGTGGATGTGATGTGAGTAGGGATTTATGTTCCATTATGACTCCCCCTCAATGATGGACTGCAACCTGGGAAAGTAAGCCAAATAAATCCTTGCCGCCCTGGGTCGCTCGGGTGTTCACTCCTAGGCTAGGCTGACCTCAAACCCTATGTGACCCTCCTGCCTCTGTTCTCAAAGGCTGGATTATAGGTAGGTGCCACCATACCCACCTCCATTTAGCTTTCTTATTCGTAAAATAAAAATAAAATGGTGGGATTCAATTAAGGATTTTGTTTTGTGTAAAGTCTTTCTATGTAACCCAGTCTAGCCTAGAACTCCTCACATAGACCAGGCTGGCCTTATACTGGCAGTAAGCCTGCTTCCGCCTCCTGAGTGTTGAGATTAACACTACCAACAAGCCTGACTGGTTTTCAAAGATCTGATGTGTGTAGATTTATGTCCCCACCCCATCCTGAAGAAAAAGCAGAAGGCTTGCAGCACTCCTTCAGTAGAAAAAGCAGTTTCCTTTCTTTGCCTTTGGGAAAGAAGAGGAGGGTTATCAGAAACAACAGGTCAGCTGGACATACCAAGGTCTCAGTCCCTGCTGGTACATCGGAACTGGCACCAGGAGGCAGGCATTCAGGGAGCAACACTATGGGCAGGGTGGTGCTGGGCAGGTTGAAACAGATTTCCCCTCTAGTGAAATTACAGGGGAGAGGCACAGGCCCCTGAGATCCTGATTGGGTCTCCTATAAGCTACATTTTAGAAGGGAGGCAGCCAGCAGGTACAAAGAGGGGCTAAGTGGTTAAGCCAGTAAGAATAGGACTTAGAGGTAGGTGTGTGATGACATACAGCTGCACTTGAGAAGCAAAAGGATTCCAAGAGGCCAGCGTGGCTATATAGCGAGTTCAAGAGTTCAAGGCCAGCCTGGACAGCCTACGCTACATAGTGAGACCCTGTTTTGACAGAACAAGGGCTGGAGCTGTAGCTCAGTAGAGCACCTGTCTAGCTTGCCGTCCTGGGGTTCAATCCTTTCCGATGCAAACAGAGTAACAACAACGATCATGGAGGGGTGGGGTGGGTATCAGGAGCACACAGAGTTTGAACCTTGACTGCCACACCCTGACTGATCTGGGAAGCCACTGATTGCCCACGGAGTCTGCCTCCTCATTAACCCCAACTGAGTGTTAACTTGATTGATGACTACGTTAGCAAAGCACACTCAGGGTTCTCTGTGAGCATGTTTTCTGAGAGGATTCACTAAGGGGAGAAGCCTGGCTCTGAGTGCGCCCCATGAGGGGAAGACAGGAGGAGAGGAAGAGCCTTTGGCACACCTTTGAGCTGCCTGCTTTCTACGTGCTACCTTCCATACCAGCACCCCCCTCATCTCTTCCGCAGGTGCTGTGAGCCCTTCCACTCACAGGTTATCTTCAGTCTTCCAGAAAGATGCACCCGAGAGAAGATGCTGCTCGTCTTCCATCCCCAGAGAAAGCTTTCCACTGAGTTTTTAAGGGCTGTCTGATCAGGGAGTGAGCTGAGTGAGGGAAAACAAAGCAGTTTCTGTCTGCATTGTCTCCCTGGGTTTATTACATGGACTCCAGGCTCAGGCATCTTCAGAAGATGGCTTTTTTTTTCTTTCTCCTTTCTCAGGTGTTTCCTGGGAATCAAGTCCCACCCTTCCTTCTTTCTTTGGGCAATTCCAGTAAAAGTTGTGAGGCAATCCTTGGGAAAAGCAGTAACTATGGAGGGATCTCCATAGTAACCACAGGACCAAGATGCCCAGTCACAGCAAAATACCTTTCTCACCAGGTGACTCAGATGCTACAGAGACCTCTGACAGACAGATGGACATGGGAACCTGATGTCATCTACTGATATCATTGGAGAAGGATGAAAATGTTCGGAGACCGCAGCCATATTAGAATAAGTCAGGGCAGGCACCCCCAACAGGAAAGAGACTTCTACAAACATCATCTAGTGGAATAAGAATTAGTGTTCTGGGGCTGGGGGCTGGGAAACAGCTAAATTGACAAACAACTTCACTTGAAAGCACAAGGACTTGAGTTAGCAGCCCAGAACTTACTCGAGAAAACAGGTGCATATCAGGTGTGGTGGTGTGCACCTGTGATCCCAGTATTAGGGAAGCAGAGTCAGGCAGGGCTTTGGACTCAACAAGTAAAGGCACTCGCCACCCTACAGTACAAAGTTGATGCCTTGAGTCTGAACCTCAGAACCCACATAAGGTGAAAGAGGGAACCAGCTCCATGAAGTTGTCCTCTGAACTCTACGTACACACTGAGACTAGCCACGACTCCTGACTCTCCTGCCTCCACTCCTGAGTATTGGAATTAAGAACACACAGCACCATACCTAGCTTTTTAAGTCAGGGTCTCACTATGTAGCCCATGCTACTCTTGACATTAACTATGTTGCTCACCCATCCACATCACAATATTTTTGTTTGTTTGTTTGTTTGTTTTTTTTTTTGCTTCGGAAAAGGACTTAATTTGGGGGAAAGGCTTGCTTTTCATTTCTTTTGTATTATTTGAACTTTTAAAAATCTTCGTGGTAGTTTGAATGCTAATGGCAACTATTGACTCATATGTTTGAATACTTGGCCCTGGGCTGGTAGAACTGTTTGGGAAGGATTAGGAGGTGTGGTCTTGTCAGAAAAGGTGGGTCATTGGTATAGGCTTTGAGGTTTCAAAAGACTCATTCCCAGTGTGCTGTTTCTCTGCCTCCTGCTTTTGGATCAAGAAGCGAGTATTCAGCTGTTCCTGCTACCATGTCTTTGCCTTGCCACCATAGACTCTTACCCTCTGAAACCAAAGCTCAGTTAAACACTTTCTTTTACACACAGCAACAGAAAATTAACTAATACAATCTACGTGTAAAAATCAATTGGAATAACAATCTTGTTATCATTGTCATGTTTTGGTTTGTTAAGGAGACTAGAAGGCTAGCTGACCTACTGGCACAAACCAGCTTGTAATGGCAATAGTGAGAGGGACCAAGAACTCCACAGAAATGAGACCATGAGGCCAGCTGGCGAAGGGGCATGCCTTTAATCCCAGTGCTCTGGAGGCAGTGGCAAGCAGATCTGAGTTAGACGCCAGCCTGGTCTATAGAGCAAGATTCAGGAGAGTCAGGTATACACAGGGCAACTACATTCAAAAAACAAAAACAACAGTACAAAAAGAAACGTGACCACAAGATGTGTGAAGTCTGTGAGTACATTTCAATGTGGGAGTTCTTGGGAAAGCATATGGAGATATTATTTCATTCATTTGCACTTTCTAAGTTTGTTTTCTCTTTTTGAGACAGGCTCTCAATTCTGTAGCCCAGGCTGGGTTCAAACTCACAATAATCCTCCTGTCTCCACCTTTTTGTGTTATTTGAGACAGGGTTTCTCTGTGTAGCTTTGGAGCCTATACTGGAACTCACTCTGTAGACCAGGCTGGCATTGAACTCACAGAGATCCACTTGCCTCTGTCTCCCCGAGTGCTGGGATTAAAAGCGTGCGCCACCACCTGCTGTCTCAGCCTTTAGAGTGCTGGTGTTACTGTTTCAGCATACCTAGCTTTCAATTTTATTTATTTATTTATGGTTTTTGGAGACAGGGTTTCCTTGTGTAGTTTTGGAGCCTGTCCTGGAACTAGTTTCTTGTAGATCAGGCTGGTCTTGAACTCACAGATATCTGCCTGCCTCTGCCTCCCAAGTGCTGGGATTAAAGGCAAGTGCCACCACTGCCCGGCTCTTAGTTTTATTTCTTTTAAGCTCTCAATTCCATTTCATATGTGCTCTCCTCCATTTATCACAGGAGTCTCGTAGGATGGATATCATCTGAACAACAGAGTGGGTTACAACATGGCTCACTCAGCCACAAGATCCAGTTTTGATAGAACAGGGCTGCTGCCACCCAGGAAGCACAGTACTCACACTACCAGAAGCTCCAAGGTTTGCACCAGGGGAGTGAGTACATGCCTGGAGGTCATAAGCCAGCCCTAACAACTAACCTGCAAGATCATAGAGTTCAGTGTCAGAGGCGCTGGCCAAGGCTTCTTCCAGTTCTGGGTCCAGAGTTACTTTCTCTTCTTTCGGAGCTTCTACAGGCTTTTCTTTGGGGATAAACACTCTCCCTTTAAATTAGAAGAAAAACAAAGATGACTGCGATATACTGCCTTATGGGTAGGGTTAACAGACTGAACAGAAAATGCAATGTTGGTATGAAAAAACATGGATCAGTGGGAGGCAGAGGGAGACGGATCGCTGAGTCTGAGGCCAGCCTGGTCTACTGAGTGAGTCCCAGGCAGCCAGTACAGTTACACAGAGAAACACTGTCTGGAAAAACAAACAAACAAACAACAACAACAAAGACTTGTATCATTGAGCTATTTTGTATCATTTGAGGTTCCTGGACTGCTGAGATACAACTTAGTCTGTGGGATAAGAGGAATCCTGCCTCTTATCACACAGAATTCCCCTAATGGTTAGTATTGTCAACTTGACCGGATCTAGAAAAGACAAGTCTCTAGGCTTGTTTATAAGGGAGTTTCTAGACCGGGTTAATTGAGAAGACCTACTCTAAATGTGGGTAGCTCTAATCTGTGGATTGGGATCCTAGAAAAGGAGAATTTGAGCTGAGTGCCAGCATCTATCTGTCTGATTCCCGCCTGGAGATGCAAAGTGAGCCTCTCTCTTAGGCTTCCAAGGCCATGCCTTCTCTGCCACAGTGGGCTGCACTCTTGAACGGTGAGCCAAGACAGACCCAGCATTCCTTAAGGGCTTTTGTCAGGCATTTTGTCACAGCAAGGAGAGAGTCACTAATCTACCAGCCATCTCCCAAGCTGATCGTGTGCACCTTATATACTCAGATAGCTCTAGCCTATCCTAACCCCATGGTCACAAGCCTCCTACAGAGGAACCTAGATGCAGGGGGTCATTTGCCAAAGCCACTCCTCTCCTCAGAGAAGAAACGACAAAAGCTTTCCCCTTAGTATTCTGTCATTATCTAACGCAGGATTTGGGGGGATTTTATTGACGATATTTTATAATTTAGCTTATGCTTGTCACAATTTGGTAAGTCCAAGAGCAACTGTGTTACCATAGAAACAGCTCATACTCCACAGTAACCCACGTCTGTTTACCTGACTCATCACTCATAAACTCTTCTTAATTTCCTTCTCAGCGGCATGTGACCCATCAGAGGTGCACAGCACAGAGGGAGGGACAGGGATGACGCATGCTCAGTGCTTTCTTTCTTGTCACTGAGTACAGGCTTAGAGGCCACCTCACTAGAGCTCAGAGGAAGGAGAACCTCCTCCGTGACACCCAGCTCTATGGGGGGGGGGGTCTCAGGCTGATACAGAGACCACACAACCATCAAAGTAAACAGCAAAATGATGAGCATGGTCACAGCAGGGCTCTGAAAGCAATGCCCAGGTGCCATGGTAGGAAAAGGAGTGGGGGAAATCTGAGACCCTAGCATTTAAAGTGACAGCTTCCTGATTTTATGAGGCTATGGGTCAGGGAGAAGAGGCAATAAGAAAATTAACTTGAGCTGGATAAGTTTGAACAAAGACACAGGCTGAGGTTTAACAAGGAAAGGAGAGCTGCAGCCAAGAGGCAGTGGAGGCCAGACCCATACTGCGGTTGCTGCGAGAATTTGGGACATTATATAGGAAGCGTGCCTGATTCCAGCATTGGGGGGAGGTTGTTAGGAACAGCATGAGTTAGGAACCTATTTAGGCTATTTTTGGAGCCTATTGAGGCAGGAGTGGGGAGGAGGGGTAAGGAGGAAGAGAGGGAAGGAGAGAGAAAGGAAGACAGGGGAGGGAAAGAGAGGAGAGGAGGGAAGAGGGGGGGTCCTAGCATGGACTTCATAGCCTACCCGGGTACATCCCTGTGTTTCTTTTGCTAGATGACAAACCTCTTGAGGGCAGATCAAGGTCTTATATACCCGTGGGTTCAGGCTCTGCCGTAGAGTTCTGTACCAGGGAGGTTTCTCAGTAAATGTGAGATGAATGAGTGACAGACAGGCTTTTCATCATGGCATCCAAAGTTAGGGACAGAGTGGAAAGACACACAAAAGGCTGAGGGAAACACCATTGCCTGCACAGCTCATTCAGGTAGGATGCTACTTTACATTTTCAAAGCTTTTCCTTGAGACTTCGAAAAAATTTTTTTAGCAGATTAATTTCAGAACCATTACATCCCATATATTCATTTAATTAATCACATATCCTGCCATGCTTTTTTCTTTTAAACTAATGAACTTTAATTTTGAGAATAGCATTAGGCTTATATCCAAATTAAGCAGGAAATTCTCACCTATCACTCCCACTTCAAACTTCTCACCATCCCACACTATAGTGTGGACATTTGTGACAACCAATGAACCAGTAAAGACCCATTGTCATCACCCATGAGCTCACTTTGGGTGTTGTATCTACCAACTAGTGTTATAAAATACTATGTGTAGTTTGAAGGCTTATCTCCTATTCCCACGTCAGCTCCTTTGATTGACACTCCATAACAGGTTAAGGGCACTTTGTCCTAAGAGGTGCAGTCTGTGGGCCTTACCTTTTTTTTCACCTGTGAAGGGCACAAAGTCCTCCCTGTCTTTCTGTTCCAGAGCCTCCTTCTCCAGGTACATGAGGAGATGCTCTCGGTCAAATGGGCCAGTGGCTGCTTTCTGGGTCTGGTCTTTCTGTCGGAATCCAGCCGGTAGCATTGCACTCTGATAAGACAGGTAAGAGATGAAGGGAAGACGTGTGCTGGACAGGCCTTGTTATTTCTTTACTCTTCTGCACTTGCTGTAAGAGGGAATGCATGTGGCTGAGGGCTGGGGTCTCTAGGATGGCTCTAGGGATGTGCTTGTTCTAAACATCTTTGCTAAGGGAGGAAACCCAACCAGCTCAAGGGGCATAGCAACATAAGCAGCACCCTCTGGACCTTCTGCAGCTGCCTTCTAGAATGTGGAGGAAAAAGGCCTTTCTGTGTCCATCATGATTAGGTTTGGTCAGGTAAGTACACAAAAGCTCCTACGTCTGGAGTCTGGATGGCTACACTCACTTACTTCTAATGTGTTTCCTCCAGACACAACTAAGAGGTAAGGGAATATTATGGTATATGTTGATATCTTCCAGAGTAAGATTCATTTATTTGTCTTCTCAGACATCGTCTTATGTATCCACCAATGCCCGACTATTTTAGGTTTTAAATCAAGGTCTCACTTTATAGCCTATGCTGCCTTAGAACTCACTATGCTAGCTAGGTGGTGGTAGTGGTGGTGCATGCCTTTAGTCCCAGCACTTAGGAGGCAGAGGCAGGAGGATCTCTGTGAGTTCAAGGTCAGCCTGGTCTACAGAGCGAGTTCCAGGACAGGCTGCAAAGCTACACAGGGAAACCCTGTCCTCACAATCTTCCTCAACCTCCCAAGTGTTGGGATGACAGACATGTGGGATTATGTCTAATTAAGCTCTAATTAAGCTCCAAGAAGATGCCTTCCTTATATGTATAAAAATATTGTACTTAAAAAATTTAAATATCCGAAGTATCTGGTACAGCAGAATGTCATATAGTTTTTATTTACTTATATATTTAGAGTTAAATCACTATTTTGGAAGCTTCCAACTTTAAGTTTAAGATAAAGTCATCAGGGCTGAAGAAAATACTTGCTAAAGAAACAGTATAATGAACCACCAAGCTGTTTAAGAACTGACAAAAATGTCTAAAAACCTCCCCAAATTTACTTGGCGTTATGAGGATACTACAAATTGTCATGTAATTCCTAGCTATTTATGTATTTGAACAAAATAATAGCAGTTATGGGAGCACATGTCCTTCCCAATACTTTGGAGATAGAGATAGAGCAATCAGAGATCCATACACAATGAGTTTGAAGCCAGTCCCTCCTACTTGAGAGGCTGTCTCAGGAAACAAAAACAAAAAACCAAGAAGAGAAAAAAACACGATGGAAAGCCAGACATGGCGTTCCATGCTTACAGTTAACACATAGGAGGCCAGCCTGGGTTACCTACTAAGTTCCAGGCCAGCCTTAGCTACATAGTGAGATTCCATCTTAAAAAAAAAAAACAAAATAAATTCCAGGTTGTTAGTGGTGTTACATATATTTAATCCCAGCACTTGGGAGGCAGAGGAGGGTGGATCTCTATGAATTTGAGACTAGCCTGGGCTACACAGTGAGACCTGCCTTAAAAAAAAAAAGGACTGACTAGTGTGATGACTCATGCCTGTAATTCCAACACTTGGGGGGGTTGGGAGGTAAAGACAGGAGGAATTCAAGGTCATCCTCAGCTATGTAGTGAGTCTGCAGCCCACCTAGGCTACAAGACTCTGTCTCAAGAAACAAACTAACGAACAAAGGGCCTGGGACTGTAGCTTAGTTGGTAGAGTGCTTGGGACACTTGAATAAATCCCTGGGTGGAAGCCCTAACATGCTGAAATGTCTGTAGTTCCAGCACTTGGGAGGTGGAGGCAGGAGGAAGGTCATTGCCAGCTACATAATGAATAAATCCTGGAGTACATGGGACCCTATCTCACAAGACAAAAACAATGAAAGAAAACCTAACCAAAAGAAACTGCACTACAGAGGTGCTTTCAACAGCACTTGAGACATTTACCAGTGTGGGATCCCGTGTGGGTCACTCTTGTAAGTGTGCCTTCTACTTACAAAAAGGAGCTAATACCATATCCCCCAGGACTCGGGCCCAGCAAAGGAGCTGATACTTGGAAAATACTTGGTAAGGTTTGTTCTCATTGCTCCCCCAAGTTCCACACTAAGTCAGACGGTTCTTTCCCAATGGAAAACACTTTTCATCATTGACAGTGAACTAGTTTTTTGAGAAACACACTTGACATTTCTCACTGTAGTGGCCCTGGGGACAGACATGAACGTGTATAAGAGGCTCAGCGGCAGTGGGGAAGAACCCAGAATTCTTCACTGGGGCTGCAGGCACTTCCTTTGGCGACTGTTGTCCCCTTTTCTCCTTGCTCTTATTAAGCACCCCACTCCAGTTCCATGCCACAAACCTCAGGATCTAGGTCATCTAGAACATTTTCCAACTGTTTCAGTTCCTCTTCTGAGAGCTTGCCAAGAAGCTCGTCCTCATCGATGTTCTTGTATTTCTCCAGCTCCTTCTGAAAGGGGAGCGCCATGGCTTCGCAGATACACCTTTCTCATGCACTTTGAAGTGGGCCAGCTTCCCGGGACTTCACATCACCACTGTTAAAAGAGCAAAACTGTCATCTCCTTACTGCCAACTGTAAACTTAGCAATAGACGGTGCTACACCGGCCATGGGTTCCACTGCACTGACAATTCATCCGAAAGGCAGCGTTACTTCATTTCCAGAGCAGAGTACAGTCTGCAGTATTTTCACTTATTTCGATTATTTTTCCCTGTAGGGCAGCCCTGTAAGGAAGCCTGCAAGGTACCACCACTCGACCTGAGAGACTCTGACTGAGTTGGAGGTGACACAGACCTAGTGTGTGTCTGGCTTCTGGTCCCCAGAATAGTGAGTGCTTCTCCATTCTGCCACAAGACCTCTCTGGCTGCTTTCCATTGAAAGGCAGTGAAGCACAATGAGTAATTGTGAGGCAGTTGTAAGCGGCACACTTGTGCCCTTTCAGGCTAGAGAGTGCTGAGAAGAACACAGAATGGGATTCATTCAGGGAAGGGTTTAGAGGATCCGTGTGAGGACACATTGTCCTATCATCTGTGCAACGAAACCAAGGGATGTTCTCAAGCCCTGGCCACATAGTTACTCTCCCTACTTCTCTTTTTCCTTCATTATTGATTCCTGTTTTTAAAAAATGATGTATTTGAGAGTATTTTAATAGTATGTTTTTTTTTATTTGAGGGCCCCACCTTTAAATAATGCCTTTTGATCACATCCATCCACTAGCACAACCTTCCAACTCTTTCTAGTGCCCTGCACCCCATCTCCCCTCTGGGTGTCATGTTTTGGTTGTTATTGTTTCTGTAGTAACTCTCCCCTAAAACATTCTTTTTTAGTCCCCCACCACTCTAAAATGCTTCATTCTTTTTTTTTTTTTTTTTTTTTTTTTTTTTTTGGTTTTTCGAGACAGGGTTTCTCTGTATTGTTTTGGAGGCTGTCCTGGAACTCACTCTGTAGACTAGGCTGGCCTCGAACTCACAGAGATCCGCCTGCCTCTGCCTCCTGAGTGCTGGGATTAAAGGTGCACCACCAATGCCCGGCTAAAATGCCTCATTCTTAAACTGTCACACCAAGTGCAAGTTTCACTCAGTTCCTTGCAGAAAAGTCTACAGATCTCCCCTACCAAGACAACTCTGCATTCAGGCCAGCCAGCTCTTCCAAGACAGCGAGTGTTAGGTGTAGAAAAGCTCCCCCAGGAAGATTGGAGCTCAGCGAGACAGCCACACAGATGGCAATAATACCATGTAACAAGTGTCACAATAATGTCTGAAGTAGGTCGAAAACCACTGAAGGGGTTTGAGAGTCACTCAAAGCAGAGACTGTCATTGGTCCTTGAAAAAAGGGGTCCTAAGGAGGACATGGGTTCACAAGGGCCACCTAGGATAGGGAAGGGCACAAGCAGAGACACAGGGTAGGAAAGGACATGATGGGCTGGGGTGAGTAGGAGGAGGATTTGTGGAGTGGGAAAAATGTCCATGAAGGAGCTTCTTTATGGGCTACGCTAAGGGACCTGGATCTTGCCAACCGAGCTACATTCCCAACCCTAAACTAAGGGCCTGTCTATCATAGGGAAGGGATTCTGAATTGTCTGAGTGGGCACAATTTACCCCAAAGTACTAAGGTGATGGAAGGGGAAGGCCAGTGGCCATGACAGGGACAGAAGGTCAGAACATCATGATTTTTGACTTTGGAGATGCAGGAAAGATGCACTAGAAGAAGGATGTGGAACTCTGGAAGTCCCCCCCCCCCACTGGTAGCCCTGGAGGCCAGCAAGGTTCTGCTGACACCAGTGAGCACTTGGGTCTCAAGCGGCAACACATTCATATTGTTTTAAGCAACTGAATTTGCTCTTTTTCACAACAACAATACAGAAACTAATATATTCTCTCCCCAAACACTCTCATCTCCAGGGTAACTGTTCTAGAATAGTCTGTTCATCCTTCCATTTCTGTTCTCCACTCTGCTCTGTGCCCCAAGATTACTGTCTCCTTAGACTGCACCTGGGCTCCTGTCCTTTCTGGCTTCTGTTTGACCAATAGTAGCAATCCGTGCCATGGAAGGAGAGTGGGTGGGGAGAGGGTGTTTCAGAAAACAATGTCACTCCACAGGCCACCCTCTTTTGCTGGCTTTGGGCCTTGGGGTGGTAAAGGGTCTCTGCTTTGACTCTTGCCAGATTTCTGCCTTGTTGTTTCTCTAAGGCTTCCTACATCCTTGTAAATAACCTCTTTATTGAAACCGTTATTCGGTCTGAGCCCACCCTCTGTTTCTTGCGGGGAAGTTGGCAGATATGGCGCCATTGCTTGGAATGTCCCTTTCTCTCTGCTCTGTTTCTGAGGCCTGGCTAAGATCCCAAGCTCTGTGGTACCACAGACTTCAGAGTGAGGGAGGCCTTTGGCCGTCTCGCACTCTTCACTCCCCTCTTGGCCTCTTTTCACAGTTTCTCTTCCTCTGCCTCAAATCCTGGTACTCTTCAAAGTCCTGTCTTAGAAATTCTTTTCTCCTCCTTCACCAAGGGTACTTACTTACCTTGAAATTTTAATTCTTTTATTTTTCCCTTTTATAGTTAAATTTTAAAATTTAATTATTACCCATGTTCTGCTAGCTATAAAATATGTATCTGGATCCTAGATTTTGTCCCTGAGGATGAGATCTGCGTTATCTAACCAGAATTATCCCTTGGCTAGATTCTTAAAATCTTCCCTCAGACCTTAGAAATCTGTCAGAAGAGCTCTCACCTGCCGGTTCCACCTCTAGAATTTCAAGAAGTTGTTTCAGAAACCAGGGTGTCGTTCTTGACATTTTTCCTTCATCTCCCTTCTACCTACTAATCATCAAATCCCATCCTTACAGAATGATGAGGAGAGCTCATCTACTTTTCCATCCATGCCCATGGCCATCCCTTGACCTTCTGATAATCCTGCAACAGTGGTCAAAGTGATCCATTTGGTTTTATTTTAGTCTTCTAAAACCCCACAGTGGCTTCTCATCACCCCAAGGACAAAGTTCAAATTCACACTCTGGCCTCTGTAGTTCCATCCTCCTCTTCCTGCACTGCGTTCCCACAGTCCTCCTAGACCACCTCCAGTTTCTGGCTCATTTATGGTCCCTTTGCTCAAAGCACCAAGGACCCAGACTCAAAGCCCACCCCTGCTGACTCTACCAGACTCACCTTCCAGTCTCGATGTGAGCTTCATTTCTTCCATCAATCAGACCCTGAGTCAAAATCTGGGTCATGTGCTGCCGTATGGTGCTCCTTCGACTGCAATTTGGCTTCTGTACAATGACTTGCTAATCTTGGTGAGGGTGGGGACTATATAACTTTTATTCGCCAGTAAAATCAGCCAATAAATACTGATGTCAAATGAAGGAAATGAGCTCACAGTGGTGAGGTAGCCATGGGTCCAGAGATCTTTCTACTGAAGCCATTTTCCCCATCCCCCAAACCCCTCCTGGAGCTTGCTGAGATCACCCAAGCCCACGAAGTTCCTCCTCTCTCTAAATTTGATTTGTCTGTAATGAAAGTCACATTGAGACTTTTGGAAGACGAGTCTGGTAGAGTCAGCAAGGGGTGGGCTTTGAGTTATCCATTTAACATTCACCACTCATATATGTTACTATACAGTTCTCTCTCCAGATACCACAGTCCCCCAGAAAACAGGGACCATATTCTAATTCTCAATGCTCCAGGGTTTCTGAGGCTCAGGCATATTCATTTAACAAATGTTTATTGAAAGCCTACATTGCTGAGACATAGCAGTGGACTAACCAGATGGTCCTCTGGATGCTAACTTAGCCTATAATTTGAAAGGGAAAGAGAATTAAGTAGTACTTTAACCAGTGCCTGTCAAAGCAAACTTCACATTCTATAGCAAGGTGCCAGGAGGTCTCAGAGCCAGAGGAGAAAGGAACATTGTATCTGCTTAGAGTGCAATGCTGACCTGGATATTCAAGGAGAACATAACTGTTACTGCTATTATAGTAGTTTTTATTTTTTTGTTTGAGGCAGGATCTCACACTATAGACTGGAACTCACTGTTTAGCCTAGGGCTGGTCTCAAACTTATTGCAATCCTTCTTTACTTCAGCCTCCTAAGTGTTGTGACTATAGGCATATATAACCAAACCCCAGCTCATTATTATTATTATTATTATTATTATTATTATTATTATTATTACTATCTATTTTGAGACAGAGGCAGGAGGATTGACACAGTTTGAGGGCAGCCTGGTCTACATAGTAAAGAGTTCCATCTCAAAACCAAACCAAACCAAACCAAACCCCTAAAAAAATTAGGTGTGCTGTCAAAGAGTACAGCCTTCTCATAGCTTCTATAAAGTCAATCCTTGATTTGCCAGTGCTTGGCAGGCCTGCTGTACCCCACCCAGGCCCTGCTGGGTTCACATTTGTTTTCCCTCCTGGGAGTGATGAGCCAGTGGAAAGTTTGTCAAAGCCCTGCCACAGCCTCGCCTCCAGCAGGGTGTCTGTCCCATGGCAGACGTTCAACAGGCAACAGGATACTAATGCACACACCGGAATGGAGCGTGCACCTCTGAGGCTCCCTGGAGCCCAGGTGAGCAAACACAGTCTACTTGCAAAATGGAAAATAGGCGTGGCAGTGGGTTGAAGGAAGTGTCTCTTCCTGTTACCCAGAAACACAAGCCCGGGGAGGGAAAGCTCAGAGCGTGGTTTTCGTTTTCCACTATCTTGTTAATATAGCTATGCTGTGAAAGGGGAAAATCAGCTACAACACGAAGGGTCCAACCTTTTACTCTCTCTACACAAAGACAGACCAAACCCCAGACTGCTGCTGCTGACTTATCTCTGAGTCAGTAAATGATATTAATCATTTGTTTAGTATACCTCCATTATTTCATCATACATGAGATTTGCACAAGAGTCAAACCACATTTTCTAAAAAGAATAAACAGAACAACATGAGTTTATCAAAGCCCCTTAACAAAGTGCGTATTGGTTCTGTGTACTTAATTCATCTCTATTTTTTTTCTGGGTTGGGATGAGATAGGATCTCATTATATAGCTTTGGC